GTTCCCATTTCTTGACTATTGTAAAAAGTGTTGCAATGAACATGGAAGCACAGATGTCTCTATGATTTCATTTCCTTTAGATATATATTCCATAGTGGAAATGCTAGACCATATGGCGGTTTTATTTTTACTTAGTGAAAGAACTTCCAATACTATGTTCCATAATGGTTGTGCTAACTTACATTCCCATCAATAGTGTAAATTCCCTGTTTTCTACATCCTTACCAGCACTTGTTATCTTCTGTCTTTTTGATAATAGCCATTCTACTGGAGAAGGGTAATATCTCATTACAGTTTTGATCTGCATTCCCCTGATGATGAGTAATACTGAGCATTTTCTCATGTATTTATTATCCACTTGTGTGCTTTCTTTTGAGAAATGTCTATTGCTCATTCTTAGATCATGTTATTTGTGGGGTTTTTTTGTTAAGTGTTTTATTTTTGATAATGAGTTTGGGGGGGGGTTCCTTATATATTCTTATGTTCTAAATATTAATCTCTTATCATAAATATAGTTTGCTAACATTTTCTCTCATTCTGTACATTACTCCTTTGCTCAGATAATTATTTCCATTGTTGTGTGAAAGTTTTTTAGTTTAATGTAATCTGACTCATTTTCTGTGCTTTGGGGGTCTCTTCCAAAAATTCCTAACCCATTCAAATAACCTCAAGTATTCTCCCTATAATTGCACAGTTTCAGGACTAATATTTAAGTCTTTGGTCCATATTTAGTTGCATTTTATAACTAGTGATAATAGCACTCTACTTCCATTCTTGTATATGTGGATACTTAATTATTCCAGCACCATTTACTGAAAAAAAAAATGCATGTTCTTAAACATCTTTGTCAAAAATCAGTTGGCTATAGATCTGAGTTAGCCTCTAGGATCTTTATTCTGTTCCACTGGTCTATGTGTCAGTTTTTACACAAATACCATACTGTTTGATTACTACAGCTTTGTAGTATATTTTGGAGTCACGTTGTGTAATCTCTCCTGCTCTGTTCTTTTTGCTCAAAATGACTTCAGCTATTCAGCGTCTTTTGGTTCCATCCAAATGTCAGGATTGCATTTTTTAGTTCTGTGAAGAATGTCCCTTGTATTTTGATTGGGATTGTCTTGGATAGCATGGAGATTTTAAGAATATTGGTTTCTGCAGACCATGAACATGAGATGTTTCTATTTTTGTGTGTGACCTCTTCAATTTCTTCCATTAATATTTTAGCTGGGAAGGAGCGGTGGCTGTAATCCCAGCAGCTCAGGAGACTGAGATAGGAGGATTGACAGTTCAAAGCCAGCCTCAGCAACAGTGAGGGGCAACTCAGTGAGACCCTTTCTCTAAATAAAATACTGAAAATGGCTGGGGATGTGGCTCAGTTGTTGAGTGTCACTGAGTTCAATCCTCAGTACACCCCCCAAAAAACACCATATTTTATAGGCACAGTTGCTTTGATGTATAAATGAAGTAAATAATTACAATGTTCCTAGAATATATATAATAAGCCCTTACTTACCTTCAACCTAACACCCTCCTCCCATTTTCCTTTTTAACTCTACAATAAGAAAAGCTACTTGTCCCCAGTGCCCCTCCATAAATCTAACTATTTCCTTTTGTGTGTTGCTTCTCGTAGCTGCCAGTGCTTTTTATCCTCTTCTTCTTCCATAAGGCTCATCCATTGCTCAAGGCACAGTTTAAGAGGTATCTTCTTTGACAAATATTCTGAACTAACAACCCTACTTTAAGAACTTCTTCCTTCCTTCATTATCTAAATTACTTTTTTTTAATTTACTTGTACTTTTACAGCATATATTTGCTATACCTTCTTTTAAAGCTTTGTAACTACAATTACTTCCTAATTGCTTTGAATGCTTTTGTTTTCTTCCCTAACTAGAAAGTAAGCTATTAACAGACTCTATTATAAATTCCCCAAGGTCAGTGATATTGGTTAGTTTTGTTTACTAACAGATGACAGGTACATAAAACAATGCCAGAAATGCAGAAGTGCTCAAAATGTACTTACTAAATAAAAAGAAGTTATTTCTCCTTCCATTCATGAATTGCTCTAAAATTCCAAATATAATCCCAAATATACACATATATAAACTGTTTTTTGAGTAAATGAAAATTCTTATGCCTGAAATTTTAAAAATTCAAAAAATTAATAGAGCCAAAGCAGATTAATCAACTCAGTTTCTACAGAATGATACTTAACTTGTTCAAGATGAGAACATTTAAAAGAATCATTGTTAATTACTTAACTATAATTTTCAATAGTCAAACTAATGACAATTATATAGGACTAGGAACACAAAAAGGGGCATATTTGGAGTTATGGAGGGTCATTTGGGGACAAGTAATTTTTCTTATTGTAGAGTTATAAAGGAGCGGGAGGGGCATGTTACATTGAAAATTAAGTAACCTTTGTTGAGGCCTATAATATATATTCTAGGTATGCTATAGAACTACTTAGAAAATTCTTAAGTAAGTGAATTATGTGTAGGAAGCTTATATTGTGGAATGAATGGATTTTGGAGACTGGGATATGAATCCTAGCTCTCCTATTTCTTAGCTGGCTAACCATAAGCAAAATGTGTAACTTATAAGATGATCATTATTATTTCTCCCTTGTAGTTATCATATAGATTTTAAAAGATAATGTACCCACTCCTTCACTCAACACCTTAAAACTTCCTATGATGAACTATAACTTTTATGGTAAGTTTCAAAGTCCTTAAAAAACTATCTTTTTATTTTCAAAAATGAGGAAAATGTTTTCTAGTCTCAAAAATTCTTTAACAACTAGTCAGAAATGCTCAATATGTAGATAAAAAGCAATGTTAAAGACAGAACACAGAGAAGGATACACGTACAAAGCTCTTTATAATCATTCAGATAACAAATTTATTCAAAGCTGAATATACCAATGTTTATTCCCCCCAGCTAGTATTAGTATTATGAAATTACCTACTAATACTAGCTTAACAAATATTATCTTGCAATACTGGGAAAGCACAGTAGCAACCCAAAGACATATAAACTCATTATACTATTCTCCTCCCTTAGCATATTAAGTATTTTCCAATATGATAAATATAGTGATTTCTGTTTCAGTTTTATATAATATATTAAATTGTTAAGCTTTAAGTTTATCTCCTCCTCTCATATGAATTCTCTATTTACTGGATGATAGAGTATAGCATACTCTAACTGGAACTGGAACTGGAACACTAGTTTCAGACTCAACCCAAACTTGAGTATGTTCACATTCTCCCAAATTCTTTGCTCACAATACAGATTTATCAATGGAATTATTTTCCCCACCAGAGAGCATACTCCTATAAAGGCATAAATCATATCATCTATTCCATAGACCCTAGACCACCATTCCCAAAAACTTATGCCTCTTGTGTGTTTGTGTGTATTCAATGATATCTTTGTTTTGTTTTGTCTTAATTTTCTACTTCCCAAAGTCATATTATTAAATTAAAACTAATTAGTGGCCTACCCTAGTCACTGTACATTTAAAACTACATTATTTTATCAACCCTAAAATATTATACTTATTAGAAATCTTCCAATTTACAAGGTGTTAATATGTGAAATTTAGCAGATAGTGATAACACATTCAAGTTTCAGAGCATTAAAACATGAGGAAAACTGCATACCTTACTCATTTTAGAAATTGAAGGTGAGAAAGAGCTTAAATACTTTTCCCAACATCAATACATGTATACCAGGTTGGTCACATGGAGCAACACCCAATAACAGGGGAAGAAATGGATCAAAAACCAATTACATTAACTATTTCCTCTCCATTCAACAAAATAAGGACATATCCAATATGATTATTTATAAAACTATATATATTTAATCCGCAAAGTTCTTACATATAACAGATGATGAGGTTCAAAAGTTCACTGAACATCATATAGCAATTAATAAAATCAGAGATTCATTATCCGACATTCAGGGCAGACAAATACATCTGACCTTATTACCAGGATATTTTTTTCCCTTGAAACAGCATCATACACTTTATTGAAAATAAGAAGGCATCAACTAAGTCTTTGTTAATGTACAAAATATAGTTCAAAATTATAACAAAGTGATTTGCCAATATAAAATTAAATACTTAAGGGAATACTACTTTCCAAATGATGGCACATTTGTTGCTAATGAGCATATATGTTGACCAAATTAAAAATCATGTGGTAATACAATTATACTTAACTCCTTAGATAGTCACCCACTTTCACTATTAAGTATTTAGGTTATTGAATAATAAATATTACATTAAGTAACACAGAACTTAATTCCAAAGTAGAAAGCACTAAATTTTATCATTATGTATCCTCTAGCAGAATACAAAAGAACATTGCAACATAATATAATATTAAACCTCAACCTAAATACGTCTTAAGGAAGAAGCAAAAAAGAAAAAAAAGTGAGAAGCTGGTAATAATTTTGGAACAGAAATTTATTTCAGGTGGTAGAAATTTTTTAAATAATTAACAGGGGCATTTAGAAAAGTCACATAAATAGAATTTACAGCTTAACTGAGCCTCACTAATAAAAAGAAGCAAATTTCTCTCTCACCTTTCTTCTCTCAGCCTATGATAAATGTCAACATTTCAAATCACTTTATCCTAAGAAATAAGTATCAGTTCTGTATAACGTAAAATAGAAGGAATAACAAGGCAGGAGATTATTTTCATTAAAAATTAATATTTGTATAAGTTATTTCCTAGAAAGTGTCATTTTCTTTTAAGAGTAAAAACAATCAGTAACCAAAATTAAGAGAATCAGGAATTTATTTTCAACCTAAGATCTAGTTCCAATAAACTGTAAACTAAAATAGATTCATGTATTAAGTACTGTTATATTTTATACAAATATTTGTCTATTTGTTACACAAAGTACCATAAAATTTACCATATTTTATATTCTAAAAATTTTAAATTGAATTAACTAATAATTATATATCAAAATTCTCATCTTACTTCTCCATTTCTTAATGTTGTGATGGCTCCTCTTGCCACACCCATTCTAAATAGTGTTTCTGTAGCCTGTGAATAGAAAAAAAAAAAAAAAGCTCAAGTATATAATTTGTACACTACTGTATACTCACCCCAAAAAGGAAAAAAAAAACAATACTATTACATATTCAACAACTTGTATTAACACATTAGTAAGGAAAAATAAGAGACATCCTAAATTATATACCAGAAATATCA